GTACACCTCAAGAACTGTAGCGAGATGCTGCCGAAATTCATCCACGTCGAAATCTAATCTCATGTAGCTGTAAATTACGTGGCATGACTATGCATTTCCGAATGGGATAGGGCCCTTACCGGAGGCATAAGGTGACGTTGTGATTTTCTAAGAATACAACATAATTTTTGTATTGTGATTGTGGTTCCAGGAATTATGAGCAGAAGGTGGATACAGAACCCTAACAGGTGTGCAGACGAATACTTGGATGGAATCGAGGAATTTATTCACTTTGCACGGACACACAACCCGGGTGCAACTAGAATCCGATGTCCTTGTAGGAAGTGTAACAACATGTTGTGGGATACAATTGAAAATGTTCAATTTCATTTAGTAAGGAATGGAATGATTGAGACATACAGCAGGTGGAACCATCACGGGGAACAATTAGACATTGGTTCGTCTTCAAGGGCCACAAGAGTGGACAATGTTGAACCTATTGTGGATGCTAATGAACAAGTCATGGATATTATACATGATGCTTTTCCATTTGCATCAACCAGCAGCAATCAGGAAGGGGAAGATGACGTGCCTACACCAATGGATAGTGCAGAGTTTGAACAGTATGAAGAACTGTTAAGAAATGCCAACCAAGAGTTATATCCGGGGTGCGAGAGCTTTTCCATTCTGACGGCGATTGTGGAGCTAATGCATGGAAAATTAAAGTATCGTATGTCGAACTTGTGTTTCGATTACTTTTTGGAGGTTTTCAAGAGAATGCTTCCGACGGACAATTGTTTGCCGAAAGACCACAGACATGCACAGAAGATGTTGAGTGGTCTTGGATTGGGTTATGAAAAAATCCACGCTTGCAAAAACAATTGCATGTTATTCTACAAAGAGTATGAAACATTGGATACATGCCCTATATGCAATGAGTCGAGGTTCAAACAGACGTCTCAGAATAGAATGACTAAGGTTCCACAAAAAGTCATGCGTTATTTGCCCCTGAAGCCAAGATTACAGCGATTGTATATGTCGACTCATACTGCCACAGACATGAGATGGCATAAGGAAAAACGGGTAGGCGACGATGTGATGCGGCATCCTGCAGATGGGGAGGCATGGAAAGAGTTCGATCAAACGTTCCCCGAGTTTGCTGCTGATCCCCGAAATGTTAGGTTGGGACTTGCCACTGACGGATTCAATCCGTACGGGGTTCTAAACCAACACCACAGCACTTGGCCGATTTTCGTATTCCCATATAATTTGCCTCCTTGGAAATGCATGAAAAAAGAGTACATGATGATGACTGTTTTGATAACTGAGGATCCTGGGAGGTCAATTGATGTGTACTTAAGGCCGTTGGTTGATGAGCTCAAGGATTTATGGACAAACGGTGTGCGTACGTACGATAAATCCTCTGGGAAGATGTTCACTTTGCGGGCGGCAGTTATGTGGACTGTGAATGATTTTCCCGCATATGCAATGGTGTCAGGGTGGAGCACAAAAGGTTATATGGCATGCCCTGTATGCAAGGAAGATGTAACTTCTGGTTGGCACGCTGGAAAAGTGTGTTACCTTGGGCATCGAAGATGGTTGCCATGGGACCACGA